TCCGAGCAAGGCCCGCACATGTCTGCATGTCTGTATTGCAGGAACACACCAGCTTCAGAGCCCAGACTGTTGCCAAAAAGTGAATTCCGTAGTCAAACAACATGAAAGAACACGGTGGGAGGTCGGAAATCGAAAAGAAGTTGAAAAGAACTTGCTCGGGCTCACCTCCCCCTCTAATTAATAGTGAAAAGAACTTGAAAAGCACGTGCATCAGGGTACCCCCCCTTTCACATGGCATCATGGGAAGGGCTAGGGCTCAGCATCAGGGGAACATCCAAACATCCAGAACTGGCAAGTCTGGGGGCCTATCTGGCCATCCTGCGATTCAAAGAAACAGCACGCAGAGTCTCAACATTGATGCAGGCAGAAGCTGCGGCAGAAAGATTCTGCCAAAAGGGCGAAAGCGAATACGGAAATCAGTGCGGGGAAATGTTGCCAGCCCTACCCTGGGACTCCAAGCCCAATCGTCCTACAGTTCCATCTTTCGCATCTGCCTGATACATTCATCGCAGTGAGCTATCCGTCCTCTGGATTGTTGAAGTCCATGCTCCACTGTCGGCGAAAGTCAAGGCCTCACCAACAGTTGTTTCGCATTTTTTGGACTCATGCTTCAAGATGTACGGGAATGCTGCGCTCTGTTACGCATGTAGCAGCAGCAAGCTGTGTGCACAAGGGCAGCACCGTTCTCCCCAAAACTCACTGATCTCAAAGCTCTCAATCCTCCGGCTTGCCTCGGCGTCACCAACGGTGACTCCCAGATGTCATGTTGTTTGCGCATTTTCTACCAGGCTCCCTGCAGGGTGTAGCCTGGAGGTCTGCGCACCACAAGAACATCATTCACGTCGTGGGCTGTCTCCTGCGCCAAGAAGACACTGTACCGCGAAAGCCGCGGCAAGATGCTGTCAGCATGATCTTCAACACTCGCACCCCGCGCAACTCGAACGTCACCAGTGCATCATTCCTTGGGCAGGTAGCTGAGTCAATCCCATTCTTGCAGACATGCGTCCCAGCGATTAAGGTGCGGGCACGCCGTAGTAGATGGGATTAATGAATGAGTTCGAAAGGACACCTCAGTGCTCTCCGTTCATTGATGACGTGTGCCATACACTGCAGAAGAGTTCGTGCAACAAACACCAACGCTGGTTTGGGCAATGAAGGCGCAGGCTGATGTACCCTAGCACAGCCATGGATTCGAGGTCCAGCCTCACACACTTAACACTCAGAAGCACTCCATGTCCTTCGTGATGTCGGAACCAGCTTCAAGCCTAAGCCTTCTGCTTCTCGTCTCGCCTTGCTTCTGGCTGTGGGAACATACCACATAAACCTCCCATCGTAGAACACCTCAATGAATCAAGGCATGTTTGTCATGCCTGCCTTAGGAACTCAACAGGCTGAGCAGCAGTCACCGAATTGATAAGGCTCCAGCGCCACAACCGGCATGACTGTGGTGGTTGTCCTGTTCGACTTCAGCGAAGCGCTTTCGGCAATCAGTCACGTTGAACCAGCCGGAGGTGCGGGACTCCAGCGATTGGCCCCTTGACGTATGTTGTCACCTCTGGCTGCGATGGAATACTGCACCCGCCGGGGAGAAGTGAATCGCAACTAGACCAGCCACAAATCGAAGGCTTAATTTCAAGTATCAATACGAAGTCTTCCTGCTGCCTGCAGGTGAATGGCTCCTATGCTTTCTGAGCAGGTCAGAAGTATAAGGATCCTGCGCTCCACTTGGAAATCCCCGGCCTTGCGTGGAAAGCCAAGCACTCTGACTGCAGCACATCGACAGTGCTCTATGCAAACACCAGCATGAGGAAGCTGCGTCATCGGATTGCGAACATTGTGGACCGTGATGCTGGCCTGAACGCCTCAAAAACGTTGCATCTGAAGACAAAATTTGCCGGAGGAATGACGCAAAACTGGTTAGGAGCTCAGCCATCGTGCACCATCATTTCAATGACCACAATCTGTGTCAAGCATGTCTGGACTGGGCCGGATCCAAAGCATGATCGGCCATGGATGAAGAGATGCCTTCTCTGATCTTCCATAGACAACTATGGGCCCATCTGGGCCATCACCGAACCGAGCCTCAACATCTGGAGAATCAGGGGTCTGATTTGGTCACAGTCACGTAGCTGCCGGAAGTTGAGCTGACAGCGTTCGTGAAGTCGTAGGAATCGTCATTGACCTTCAGCGCTCAAATGGACAGGAAATCGAACCCATTGCCTTCCTTCGGAGTAACACTAAATATACTATAGTAGTTTCCATTTTCTTTTCCATTATCCCCAATATATACCCTATTATACTATAGTAGTTTCCATTTTATTTTCCATTATCCCCAGTATACTTATGCTGTCCATCAAGGCTCCGGCAGAAGCTTGCATGGAAACCAGCTCCGCACCTTCACAATCTTCACACTAAACAAGCATTTAAACAACAGCAGCATCTCTCAGTGCTGAGGGATGGCTTCGCGTTGCGGTGAAAGTGACGACAGCTGCGGAGAAGGAGCCAGTCCCCTCACAGGCCCTCAGGTATGTCAGCAACTGCTCTTACTTTTCGTAAAGCCATTTCAGCCAGTGGGGGCAAACAAGGCAGAGGGAGAGAGAGAGAGAGAGAGAGGAATGGGGAAGATAAGACGCAGGCAGGCCAGTCACCAAGTTCACATCGATGCGGCAAGGGAAGATGGCTGGTGCCTCGATCCGATCCGCAATTCCACTTGAAAAATGGGTTCTGCGGCAAACTCTGCAAGGCCTGCATCACCATGGGGTTGACAAGTTCCGGCACTATTTCGTAGCCGGATATCATCCGTGATGACCTCGCTCGGCGAAATTGAGGATGTTGGGAGCCGCCGAGCATGGAAGACATAGAAGACCGGGCGTCGGACTTCAGAGTTCCGTTTGTATCCAGCTGGCGAACTTGGAAAAGGTTGATGGTCGGTGTTCTTGGCGGGTTCCTGGCCAGGGAGAGATTCGTCCAAGGAGCAACATGACTTGCAAGATTTCTAAAACTGCCTTGCTTAAAACCAGGTGGAAATGAGAAGATGCATGCTGACAAACATGCTGTGCCCACTGCACTTGCACCATGAAGCGCACGGGACTCAGAGCTGGAATGGACCTCACTCAGGCAAGCGGAGCTGCAACAGATGTACGGAGTGCAACGCGAGCTCGAACTTTTTAGCTGCGCAAATCATTCGTTGGGCGTTGCCATGGGCTGCTCGCTCAAGTACTGCCTGAAACGAGGAAGCATGGCGGCGCCAATCATCCTCAGTTTGCAAGATCCTGACACACAAAGAAAACGCACAAATGTATGGAGATTCAAACTGCGAATCCCTTCACGCTTGCCAACCACCCCACGCCCACAGGATGCAATCAAGGAGCAGTTGCATTGGATGGAGCAGCATGATGGGGGCGCAGAAGTACGCCAAGTCAGCACCTCGCGAAGCACAACAAGTAGATCCAAGATCCAGATCCATCCCTACAGGTTGTCTTTTGGGTAGACGACTTCGAAAGAACGAAATCTGATATCTGCACCATAAGGCAAGAGGCAAAACTGAGACCCAACACAACAGCAAATCACATCAGCATCCAAGTACACTCATTTCATCGTGCCGCACATCTGAACAATTTAGAGATTTGCTAAGTGCCACCCAAAAGGGAATCTAACTAAAATCTAGCTAAAACCTAGCTACCCCTTCTTCCCCAAACAACTTGGGAACTCACTTCCTTCAAAGATGGTCTTGATCAGCGGCAATCCAAAAGCCAGAGTCTTCTGGCTTGCCTGAGAGCAACTCTCGGCGGAAGCTGAAGAACAAAAGCCTTGCCAACGGTAAATGCTCCGGGCCGCTACGAGTGATGCAGCAACTGCATCCCTGGGTGCGATACCAATCCGCGACCACGATAAGCTCCTGCAATCAACGAGCGGCTGAGTTCTCTTGGTCTGTATCTGCAGCAGTCGCCAGTCAAAGCTTGAAACTAACAAACCCTTTACGCTACTAAAAACAACAGTTCTGAATAACGGCATCCCAGCATGCATCCTGACAAAGCCCGTCAGCAGGATGATGTGCGAGACAGGCATGAGCACAGCCAGAAAGATGAGCTCTTTGCCGCTGACCCTGAGGGAACCGACTCTTCGCAACCCCATTAGATAGAGAAACTCTTAGAGTTTGTAGCTAAGCTGTGCTTGCTGAAACAAGTCCTGTCCTTAGAGTGCGTGTTGTGGCTATGTGATGCCATGTGATGCCATGAGACCCGAGACCAGCCACGAAGGCATTGCTGAAGGCGTTCCACACGATCAACAGCAAAAGGCATTCCTTTGCAGTCGCTAAGCCAGCTAAGGCAGCCAAAGCGGTGTGCTTCCTTGTACACATCATGGGCTTCTGAAAACTGCAACCCTGCGGCGGAGAGCTTCTTAAACAATGCGCTTTTCTCGGTGTAAAAGCGTTGCAGCGCACGAGAGCTGCGAAGGCACTGGCCAAGCAATACTGGTACAACCACCTGCCACTGCCGCAGGAATTCATGGTTCAGCTCAGATTGAAAACATTTACACCGGGGATCTATGCTTTCCTACCTTCACGACCAGTTTCTGAACTGCAGGCCCCAGTTGGATACTCGCCTTGGTGGCTTGCACCAGAACTCTTTCTAAGGACTGCCAAATCTGCACCCAAATCTGCGCCCAAATCTGCATGCCAGATGCTCTGGCTCCAAGTGTGAGGAGCAAAAGCGCAGGCGTCACGCAAACGCCTGCAAACAGGTCGCACATGCCGAATACCTTTCAGTCAGAACTTCGATCAAGCATCGTCACACCAAACAGTGTAGCCGAGTCACCCAACAAGTTTCCAAGTATGGCATTGGTCAGGGCAACTGCAGTGTTCGCTCCTCATTTACATGTATTCTGTCTGGGAGGTTGTTGGCAAAAGAGTGGTTGATGCCACGAGCACTGTCCCCACTCCCGAGCTCTAAGGACTGGTCCCGCGGACTTGGCCAAGAGCACACACCTTCGCTGCGAAAAAGAAAATCCCGGCTATAAGAAGTGGCCACGTGCAGTTATGGTGCATGTTCACAGTCGTGGGCAAACATGCCTTGGTATCGTCAGCTCAAGTGCCACTGCCCTTCAACACGCGGAAACAGTCTCTGTGCTTCTCTGCAGCACCCGAGCTTCGGATAAGGCACGGTGATCATCAAACCATCGAGCAATTGCCCATGAATCCATTTACTGCCGTGCCCAAGCTGCACTAGTGGATAAGCAAGCAAAGGTATCCTTGGATTTCTCGTCCAAGCAAACACGTTCCTGCTTCAACCTTGACGAACTCACCCACTTCAATCTCCAAGCGTCAGTCCCAAGGACAGCCTTAGCGACCGAGTTTGAGTTAGAGCTCACGGCTTCGAATGCCATAGCCAGCACAGGAATGAACTCGTGCCGGGAAACATCTGTGTCAAAAGGTTCAGACGGAAGTCGAGGGCGGCGGCTCGCATCTCACTCAATTTCAAACTGAAACCTGATAAGAGGAAGATGACAGCAACAGCGTAGTCACCTGACCAAGCAGACGGTGCTGAGCAAGGGTTTAACATGTCAATCAGGCTGGGCGCTGTAGTGTCATCAGATAATCAGGATCCGAGGACAGACGGGCATTTGAACAAGTCAGAGCCGTGGTGGTGATGGTACTGGCCCAATAACAAGGCGCAACAGTCCCATGCTTTTCAACATAAAACATCGCAAGGCAGTTGCTACGACTGGCTGCAGCTGAAATGCTGACAGAGTCGACATGCAGAAGTCCACCGTTCATGGCCAGACTTGGTGCCGTCCGCGCGAGCAGGACGGTCACCAACATTCCAAGCAGAAAGAAGTTTGCGGCCAATTTGCTTCCTCAAGCATCAAACGAATCGGGAGGTCAACCCCCACACTGACGTCCTTACGTGCACACCTCTTCTTGCAGCCGTGAAGCTGAAGGATTTCCAGGCCTGAGCGCCACTTGGCGTTTTATCCGATCCATTGCGACAAGCGACCTTGGGCAGATAGATCAAAAACATGAGGAAAAATAAAAATAAAAAGGACGAATAGCAACGATAACAACAAGAGGATCAACAACGCTGCTGCGTGGTTACGTCCCTCCCACCCACCCTGCAATGACGATGACGCTGCCATGATTGGCTTTGCGTCCCTGCAGCTCATGATTGATTGATTGACTGATTGCCTGTTGGGTCCAGGCCTCGCATGTGCAAGGCACGTCGCTGCTCTTTGCAGCACATCACATCACATCACATCACAAGAAAGCGGAGCCCTGACATGACTGCACAACTCCGCATTCTAGGCACTAATTGCGCCAATCAAGCATGGTATCTACATCGACAAGTCCAACATGTCGAGATCTGCATACATGCGGAGGCGTCGATCTGTGGGCTGAGCGCGCAAGAAACGAGCCCCTGGAGCTCAATGCTCATCAAGACTTCCCGAAGATGTGAAGCTGAATAGTTCCCGAAGCCTTCCACGTTATTACGGTGCCGCTCAGACCTGTGGACTTGAACACCGATTCAAATAATTTGCCTTGCTAAACTTTGAGGGGAACCCTTTATGATGATTCTTATGTGAGTTCGGTAAAGCCTTTTAAGGATTGCAGGACAGATTGAGTTGCAAGTCTTCACGCTGATCTTTTTTTGGTTTGAGTACCCGGCGTAAGTGCTACACAAGCGATCACGAGAGCTAAATAGAGCTAATTTGGACTGTTTTTCTCCGAACGAACTACGCATTTCAGAGTCATGCAAATACACGTCAGAAACAGCCGAGCGAAACTCCTGAGGAGCACAAGGTGGGTGAGGAATCGCATCGTTCTCACCGCACAGATCTTAGTCATTCTCCTGTCAAGCTATTAAGTGATCACTGGCCTCTTGCTTGCAGCTGCATTAATCAAGGCGTGATTGGCGGCACCCCTGTGACGAAAGCCGGCACTTGGAACACTTCACCGTGACAGCTCCCACAATGCCTAGGCTTCCGGTCCGAGCAGCAGCTTTGAGAAGCTTGCAAGAGCGCCTTGAGGATGGCTTCCTTGCTTCCTCTGGACGGTTTCTCGGGTTAGGTCTTCCAAGATCAGGGTAGCGATTCTCTTTGAACTGCAGGAGTATGGACGGACAGCAGCCTGACTGTCTGTGGCTTTGTCCCAGTTACGGCCCTACACCACCAGCTGTGCGTGACCCGTAGGACGCACTAGACCAGCACACGAGGTGGCGGCGCCTGGCGTATCGCTTCAGCAGAGTGGGTGAACACCGGACGCGGTCGTTCACTTCATGGACGTCGGAGTGTTGAGAATGAGCGCCTTCGTAACTCAGTAGCTGCCGCTGGGCTGGTGGGAGATATGTTTTGAGATTGTTAGTTGGTGGTGCTTGCTTGTCTCTCTGTCAATCCTGCACCTGCGCAGCCTTGGACCACCACTTTGAGGGGCGAGCCGACTAGGGCGGTTTTGTGCAGGTGGCGGCTTGCCTTTCTTTCTGAGCAAGCTTTGATGGTGGGAGCTGATTACTGTGAGCGCTTGGGGTTGAAAACGGATTCGCGCACCAAAGAAGCAGACTCGCGCTCTAAAAAAACGGATTCGAGCACATGCATTCACCCCGGATTCGCGCACTGCCGTCGGCAGATTCGCGCACCGAGACTAGGCCTACAAAAGTCGTATCGACTGCCACCTGGACTGCCACAGCAGCTGGCCATTGGCAAGAATCCGTCAGCGGGACAAATCAGTTTTTCTCGGACTTTCCCACCTGGACACATGAAGCCAGATCAGGTAAAGCCAAGTCTGCCTGGAGGCAGCCCCAGAAGGGGTCAGGGAGCTGTGCCTCAAAGCTAAGAAGCTGTACAACATGTATTCATGTGTTTGCCATCGGCAAAATGCAACAAAGGCTGGGAAACGTTCCGTCCCAAGGATTGTGCTCGATCTGCGCACGAAAGAAATCCGCAGATTCTTGCACTATGGATCCGCATACAGCCCCGGCGATTTGCGCACCAAAAAAAGGGATTCGTGCACCGCTGTAGCCCGGGAACGAGTTCATGCCAAATGAAAGCCAGAAATATCCCAGGAAGTTTAGGGTTTAGGTTTCTGTGGTGCTAGGGCTGGGGGGCTGTTTTAGGGTTTAGTTGTTTTGGCTTTGGGGACGTTCTAGGTATGGAGCCTGGAACTGTGAAGGGCTTAGGTTTTCATATGTGTCTTTGCGGTTTTCAACAACCTCACGCCACTTCCATCATCAGAGTACCCTAAACCCTAAGTCCTAAGCCGACACCCCAAACCTGAACCCTAAAGCCCTAACCCAAACCCTGAACTCCCACCAGTGCAGCATCGCTAATCCCTAAACCCTAACTACCCGCACGCCCTGGACCCTAAAGACTCCCTGAAGTTTGGCAGCCCGAAGCCCTAGAACCACATGAACCACTCCCAAACCCTGAACATGCCCAAACCAGAAAGACTTCAACCCAACAGACCCCCAAGCCTAAACCGCAACCACCTTAAAAACCTAAACCTTAAACTTCCCTACGCCTTGAACCAACTCCCAAACCCTAAACCTCACACCCCCTAAACCCTGAACCATGAGCACCACAAACCCTAAACCCCATACAAACCCAAACCCTGTAAGCCTGAGCCCTGAACACCCTTAAACCTGAACCCTAAAGCCTAAACCCAAACCCACCCTAAACCCTGACCCAGACCCCGAACTCCCACCGCCGAAACCCTAAACCCTAAACGCCCCAAAAGCCCTAAACCATTAACACCCCCAAACTCTACACCCTAGACACTAAGAGCTCCAAGTCTGAAAGCTTACACACGCCCCCACTAAGCGCACCCGAAGCACCAGAACCTCATACAACTAGCCCATGTAATTGGGCTTCGCAGGTGCTTGAATCGTAGCGGTTTGGCAATCTAACCGGAATGGTTTGATGCTGGAATCAAGGCCTTTTGGTTCTTGAATCGGGTTGCTTTTGGTACCTGAATCGAGATGTTCTGTTGCCTGAATCGTTGGTGCTTGAATCCGGGGCTCGGTCTTGGCAGGTGTTCTTTTGTCTTCATAGCTTTGATCTTGTCAGCTAGAGCTTGCCATACCCAAACGTCTAGCTAGTTGGTCCACAGTTCATATGTATCATTGCCGGCCATGGCAAGCGTTGGAATGAATGAATGCATGCATGCATGCGTGCATGAATGAATGAATGAATGAATGGATGGATGGATGGATGGATGGATGGATGGATAGATGAATACATGAATGAATGAATGAATGAATGCATGCATGCATGCATGCATGCATGGATGGCTGGATCGATGGACGGGCATGGACGAATAAAAGAGCGAATGAATGTTGGTGCGTGGCGGGTGGCGGGTGGCGTGTGGCGGGTGGCGAGTGGCGAGTGGCGTGTGTTCAGTGGTAAGTGGTGATGGCACATAGTTGTTGAGGCAGCAGGAACAGTAATAGCAACAACAGCCAAATGATAGTAGTCGGAAGAGGAAGAGGCAGTGGTGGTCCTGGTAGTACCAGCAATTTAGAAGCGGACGTCGTGAACAAAAAACAAGTAAGTAGGGGAACGGTTTGGGGATACCATTGTATCGGTGGTAGCCCCATCGGTGGGCGTAGCACTACTGGCAGCTGTCGGGTCAAGCAAAAATGAACTGGATAGTTTCTGGATCATGGACTTGGCTTTGTGTCTTGCATAGCTTCTTCTTTTTGCGAGACCAACCTTGTTTGGTTGCCAGCTGCCGATGCAGTACCTTTCTTGACCCTGCAAGCCAAATTGGGAAAGAACCGACGGGGCCAAACTACTAGGTCGACGGGTCATAGAACGCCGTTGGCGTTTTTTACAATTCTCGATTCGTCGCACATCCTGTTTTCCCCACGCCTGCCAATGTTTCGTTCATTGTGCAGAAATTACGCTTGAAGATCGTCGGATTGAGGCGTACCGGTAAGAATTAGTTTTGGAGGGTTTGAAGGCCTCCATCAGACGATTTCCTGGAG